CTCACATGATCTGGAACATCAAAATCAGACCAACAACAAAAAAAAAAAAAACTTCACAATCAGTCACGTTGGAACCGGCGTCGAGCCTTCCGAACACACTGCCATGATCACGATGTCCGATTGCAATATTTTCAGCATTCAAGACGAATAGCTGCGGAGGAAGAAGATATGGGACATGGGCCGCGAGGACAGTCAGGTGGTGGCGTGAAATGCGAGCACCGGCAACTATACTTTCGATAATAGAAGTTCGTCGTTGATGTGTAGAGTTCAACTGGCGGAGGTGACGAGGTGCAGAGAACGCGAGAGAGATAGAGACACAGAGTGAGAGAGCTGGCGTCGGAGATGGCGGCGACGGGCAGTGGCAGGAGGGTGGTTGTGTGTGGTGGGGGGGAGGGTTACGAGATTGTGGGGAATGGTGGGGAAGATGAAGGGTTAGGTGGGGAAAATGCTTTTCTGAAAGTACAAAATTACCCTCAAACTTGTACAAATGACACATCAATCATCTCTATTTACGGGAATGACATCCGTAGTTGGCAGGATCCAAAATTGATAGCTACATCCTGGCCATTGAAATTGTAGATCAAGTGGTCAATATTAATTCTTATTTCTTTCATTGTTTTTTTTACTCATTTGAGCACACTTCTATATATATATATATATATATATAGAGATGCGCTCAAATGAGAAAGGAGCACAATGAAAGAAATAAGAATAAATCTAGACCATTGAATACATCACATCAATGACTATGATCAAGTCAAACTTTAATACATATTGGTCAATCACTAATGGCAATATAGTAAATAAGTATACACATTACACAATAAGGGTAAAACAGGTATTACACAAAACTACAACTCTTCAATTCATAGTGGGCCCCACATACAACACAAGATGAATTCACGAACGCGCATATGCAATTCTGCCAACACCATCCTTCCTCCTCCGCCTCCCACCACCGTCGCCAAAAATTCGTTCGCCGCCGCCGCCACCGTCGTCGCCACCGCCGCAGAGTTCATCCGCCGCCGCCGTCCTGCATATACCAGCCTCTTACTCTCACGCACAAACAGCGATCGCCAAAGTCTAATCTGTTCATACCAACGCTCGTCACTCGCCGGACGACGTCTTCCACATCCCAACCTCCGCCGAAGCCGCTGGATATCTCCAACACAATCTCAGTCGTCGCGCCATTCATATCCGGCGGGAATCAAAATCCCCATGGCCGATTCCCCAAACTCGAATATGGAGGGCGGCGGGACAGAATCGGCGATTATGGAGCTTGAGCACGGCTTCAACCGCGTCCGGCGGCGCCGCCTTCAACTTATCCCTGTGTCACGGTGGCCGCGACCTTTTTTTGAGACACAACGAGATTGAAGAAGTTTATTGAAAGAAACGGCGACTGAAATTGAGGAGAGATTTGGGTTTTTTTTTTTTTGTTGAAATTGAGATAAGAATTTGAGACTTATTTGTATTTTTTAAAGCTTTAATTTAATAGATTGCACTTTAGGACATTTTTGCTCAATACAATATTGCATAATAATGATACATGAAGTGCAAAATACAGTGTAAGAATAGGCACATTATAAAATCCCTTCTTAATATTTTGTATACAAAAAATATAAGAAAACAATAATTTTTATATCATCCGGTCAAAAAATAAATCCGACATCGAACTGAACTGAAAATTTTAAAGTAATATCAAATAATCAAACCAATATATAAAGATTTGAACCTAAAATGTTTGATTGTTTGGTTTCGATTGCTATCGTGCAATCTGATGTACATTAATGTGCAATTCGTCTAACATTATTGGTGTTGATCGCTATTGTGCCGTATGTCCGGACTATTGTTACAAACCAAATTGAAATCCGAATTACTTGTTTTATTCGGTCGATTAACCGAATTGCCCTAAATAATCAAAATAATTTATTATGTATATTATAAAAATATATTCAGTATTTTAATAATTTTTTTTATATATTTATATAATTTTGAGTTGAATAGCCATAATATTGAAAATACCGATATTGATAATGTGCAGAAGAACAAACACTACTGTGCAATTGGTTTAATATTTGTGTGCAGTCTGTTGAGCGGATATTTTGTACGTGCATCTCAATTTTAAAAACATTAAACAATTTTTTTTTTCATTTAACATTCTTGTACATTTATCAAATTATATATATAATAAAAATATATTTTGTATTTATAATTTTTTATTTGATATTTATATCATTATTTATTTAGAATAAAAAATATATATGCATAGATAAAATATAAAAATAATATTTTATATTGTTGTGGTAGGTTTTGTAATTTTTTTATGTTAATAAACCTGAAATTGATTTGAAATAACTGAAATTCTAATAACTCTGAAAACGCACACTAGCACAACGACGTTTTTTTTTTTTTTCACTCCGTGTCATTGTGAGTAATAAATTATTATACTAATGTGCATTCTCGAACTCATTGATGTACATTTGGTCTAAGAATATTGTGCAGTCTGACCACTAATGTGTACTTTTTTAATAATATTATGTGTTATTGCAGATTTTTTTACGTGCAAATTCAAACTAAAATCGAATTGAAATAGTCTTATTCCGTTGGTTAATTTAATAAATCTAAATCATTGATCTAATTTTATTATTTATATTGTAAAAACATATTTAATATTTGAATATTTTTATAATATGTTATGTTACTTTTGGTTGAAAATGCATAAATATATGTAAAAGAAGATATATATAAATAAGAATAATATATTTTTATATATTTTTATAAATTGCAAATGAGCCCCTTATAGTTGTCGAATTTCCAAACACAAGGCCCCCAAAATTATTTCTTCTTGTTCGGCCAGTACCGGGGCGTTAAACATCACGCCACCGCCGAATAACGTCACACTCCCACGCTGCACATCATATTTCGAGATCAATTGAACATTTCAGGTGACACTATCGATTCAAATAAAAACATCGTCGATTTCAGAATTTCTACGATTTTTTTCGAAACGGTAGCTCAAACATCCAATTGAGAGTCTTGTCCATGGGAAACGGACGCATTTCAAGCGAATTACCACCTGCAGTCGACGAAGAGCAGCGGTTGCGACTGTTGAGGAAAAGTGCTCGCCGGAGGAACTATGGAATTAAGAGCTGCTGATCGCGAGGTTGTTCCTCAGGTGGACGGACGACATCGTCACGACAAGGAGGCATATAAATCGGGAAGACTGCGGCGGAGATTGGTGGTTGGACGGGCGCCCGGCCTGCTGCAGATGATGAAGTAAATTGAGAGAGAGAACGGGGGAATTAGCAGATGGTGCGTTGAGTGGGTCCTACGTGTTTGCGATTGCTTTGAATTTTTGTATGTCTAAATTACCCAATTGAATGTAAAAATGCTATTTTCATTTAACCGTTTGATGATCAAATCCGATGGTTAGGATGTATTCTTATTTATTTCATTGAGCATCATTCTCATCGGAGCGCGACCCTATATATATATATATATATATATATATATATATATATATATATATATATATATATACATATAATTGATGACATATAGCATTTAATAAAACCTATTTAATAAAACCTCTAAAATTTTCCCTCCATTTTCGCTTACAAAATTGTCATTAATATTTTTTTACTTCTAACATTAATACATCTTATTGAGTGTAATCATGTATGTTTCTGTTATATTAGATAATAGTTATTGCTAATACCGACTAATAATAAATAATTCACAATAAATATAAATTACATAATTATAAACAATTGTCTCAAACTATTTATTTTAACATCAATATTATCTTTTTCTTTTGTATCTCATGAAAAAGTTTTCTTAAAAAACAATTAGTAAATTTCTTTAATAGCATAGTCAAACAACTTTAAAATCTTATAAACAATTTTAATAATAATAATAATAATAATAATAATATTAATAATAATAATAATAATAATAATAATAATAATAATAATAATAATAATAATAATAATAATAATAATAATAATAATCAAACTGTTATTATCTAATGATAATAAACAATTGTTCATAATAATAAAATCGTTAATTTATTTTTCCAAATGATCAAATTTTTTTAAAATGTAATATATTTATTATCTAGAATTTTGTATTAAATTCTCAAATATTACTTATAATATTTTATGTACATCTATATACTAGTTCTAATATTATAGCTACGATATAATTAGAGTCATTAGTTAAATTGGTTTTCTTAAAAATTCATGATTATGAAAAGAGGTATAAGGTTATTATATTTTATGAGAGCGAGACGGGGCATAAATAAGGGGAATTTATATATTAAAAATAATAAAAATAGAAGTGGACAAAAAAAAAACAAAAAAAAGATATGGAACAAAATAAAAATCAGGAATACGTTTTCATTACAAATTTAATTGTAAAACGTATTCTCATAATACGTTTTACAAATTTTTTACAATGGAAAACGTATTTTGAGAATACATTTTATAATGAAAAATGTATTTTCTAAGTACGTGATTTTGATTTTTTTTTTTTTCACTCGCATTTGTTTGTGTATTTATTGTTCCAACACTTTATTTTTTTTTTAATTTTCAGATAAAAAAATCCATAAATAAACCTATTTTTCATTTGCAGAACCTATAATGAAAAAAATAATAAAAAAATAATAAAAAAACAATGGATATATACGCTAGTGTGTGCACGTGAACAATCAAACAAATTTCGAGGAGCTAAAAAACGTCTTCTTCTTTATGTTGATCAGTTACAACCACTGATTTCCAGCACACAGTGATTCCAATAAAAGAAAAAGAAAATAGAAAAAAAAAAAAAAAGAGCAAAAAAAAAAAAAAAAAAAAAAAAAAAAAAAAAACAGAGCTCATGATTAATAAAATAGTGTGAAAAAAAAATCACAGGTTCAAAGCTGCTTCAGAGTTGAGTAATTATTTGTTGCTGAAGCAAAAAAGAAAGGGCCGTACTTAATTTAAAAATAAAGAGTTTCTTCAATGAAGAAACAGGGTTGTGAGATTGAGGCCATTGGCATCAACTACACAATCTACCAACACAAAAAGGGCCCAATCCTCAGTAGCCAAAAGACCCGGCCCGCTGCCCGCCAGGTCCTCAATGACGTCAGCCTCACCGCCAAACCTTGGGAAATCCTCGCCATCGTCGGTCCCAGCGGCGCCGGCAAATCCTCCCTCCTCGAGATTCTCGCCGGCAAAATCCGCCCTCAGTCTGCCCGCATCTACGTCAACGGGCAGCCCGTGGACAAGGCCCGTTTCAAGAAGCTCTCGGGCTATGTCACCCAGAGGGACACCCTTTTCCCGCTCCTCACCGTGGAGGAGACCTTGAGGTTCAGCGCCCGCCTGCGCCTCGGGCTATCCGAGCCCGAGCTAACCTCACGGGTCAAGTCCCTTATGCAGGAGCTCGGCCTGTGCCACGTGGCCGCCACACGGGTCGGCGACGACCGAGCCCGCGGGATCTCCGGCGGCGAGCGGCGGCGCGTCTCGATTGGCGTGGAAGTGATCCACGAGCCGGAGGTGCTGATTCTGGACGAGCCCACCTCCGGGCTCGACAGCTGCTCTGCTCTCCAGATTCTCGACCTGCTCAAGGCCATGGCCGAGACCCGCGGCAGAACAGTAATTCTAAGCATCCACCAGCCCGGTTTCCGAATCGTGAAGCTGTTTGGCTCCATTCTGTTGCTCGCAAACGGCGCCGTTGTGCACCACGGCTCCACCGATTTGCTTTCTGTCAACTTGACCCTGATGGGCCTCCAGCTTCCTGTCCACGTCAATGTGGTCGAATTTGCAATTGAGTCCATCGAGGCCATCCAGAGCCGGAAAATGGCTTCAGCTCGTGAAACAGCCCGGAAAGCGTCTGAGGATGGCCCGAGTAAAACGGGCCGGTCCACCTTGCAGCAGCTCTTCCAGCAGTCCAAGGTGGTGGACGAGGGGCATCTCGGTCCTGGCCTAGATTTCCACCATGGGTTCGCCAACTCGCGGGCCCGTGAGACTGCTGTCCTGACCCACCGCTTTGGGAAGAACATCTATCGGACGAGGGAGCTGTTCGCGTGCAGGTCGGTGTCCATGCTTGTGTCGGGGCTTGCTCTGGGCTCGATTTTCTACAATCTTGAGGACAATTTGCTCGGGGCAGCCGAGCGTGTCGGGCTTTTCGCATTCATACTGACCTTCTTGCTATCGAGCACGACCGAGGCCCTCCCGATTTTCTTGCAAGAAAGGGAGATATTGATGCGTGAGACATCTAGCGGGAGCTATAGGGTCTCGTCATATGCGATCGCAAATGGACTTGTGTACCTGCCGTTTTTGCTCTTTCAAGCGATTTTATTCTCCGTGCCCGTTTACTGGTTGGTGGGGTTGAACCGTGATTTTATGGCTTTCGCGCGTTTCTTGGTGTTGATCTGGTTGATTTTGTACACGGCGAATTCGGTGGTGGTGTGTTTTAGCGCGTTGGTCCCCAACTTCATTGTCGGTAATTCGGTGATATCGGCGGTCATGGGGTCGTTCTTCTTGTTTTCGGGCTACTTTATTTCGAACCATGGGATTCCAAGTTATTGGAAGTTCATGCACTACATATCGTTGTTTAAGTACCCGTTTGAAGGGTTGTTGGTTAACGAGTTCTCGGACTCGAGCAAGTGTTTGGATTACATGTTTGGGACGTGCGTGGTGAGAGGGGAGGACGTGTTGAGGGAAGAAGGGTACGGTGGGAAGGAGAGCGGGTGGAGGAATTATGTGATCATCGCATCTTTCATTTTGTTTTACAGGTTTATTTCCTATGTCATTCTGAGGTATAAATGTTCCCAGTCGGGGATGAAGGGGTTTTTCATATGAAGTTCATAATGGGTAAACTTGTTTGCTAAATAATGGGCATAACATCAGTCTATTATTCTGGTCTATTGTTGCTTCTTTTTGCAGTACTCTTTTCTTATTTTGTCCATCTTTTTCTTTTTTGGTGTTATTATCAATGTATTGATCGTTTTTTATGTTTCCCACGCTACCTAACGATTGACAAAAGACCAAAAATATGTGGCTGTAAAACTATGAGCAATTCTTAATTATAAATGTGTGATCATGCTTTTTTCTATTTTCATTTTGCTTTGTAGGTAGGGTCGCCCTGGGGTAGGGTGGGTCGGGTGACCGCCCGGGCCATATTACCTAAGTCCTACTATAATTTTTTTATTATATATAGTAACTATATAGTTAAATATTGAATTCAAAATTAATCTTAAATTATAATTTTTTAGCCTTTACACAAGGCTTTTCATAATTTCTCCACCTTATAACTATCATGACAAAATTAATTAATAGCTACTTTCATGTGGGACAGCCCCATGTGGAGTTGTCCCATTGGTAGTTGGTTCCCTAAGGAAACCAACCATCTGGTTCCTTAGAAAAATTGTAACTTTTTATATGTTTTCTCTTGTTCTTTTATGGTTCTTTTCAAATTTTTTCTTCTTGCTTCAATATACAGAATGCTATTTTATGATTGTAATGTTAGTGATAGTCAGTAAAAAGTGAAATCAACACATTTTCAGACGAGCTTCAATTTATATCTGTGATCATGCTTTTTTCTGTTTACGTTTTGCTTTGTAGGGAACCATATAACTTAATGCTATTCATGTGGGGATCTTAACAAGAACTCATAACTTGATCCCATTCTTCTAGAAGCGGCTAGGTGCTGGACCAACGCCTAGTGCATAGGCGGGGCTTAAAATTCCAGAATTTATATTTTTTTTTTATTTATTTTAACTGCTCACAAAATAAAATTATCTCAATTCATAATAAAACACACACTAAAGTGCAAATAATAATATTAATATAGTATAAAGAAAATACGATAACAGAATAATGTAATTAGTATAAAAAAACTGAACAATTTAACGTCGAGCCTGCCTAGGAGTACCTAGGTCTGCCAAGGCCTACCTAGGCACCACCCAACGTGTAATAACCCAGTTTGTTATTTATAAAAGTGATGCATTTCCTTTTGTTAATTGTAGCACCCCGCTATTTCATGAAATTCAGAGCGCGCTTTTCGCAAAATTTTTCTAAATAAAAATATTTATTTTGCGAAATACTGATTCGGAGTGCTACCGTAAAATCTGACTTTATCTGAAAACCGTTAATTTAGTTTAATAACAAACGATTATAAAACATAGTACCCGACCGGAGTCGGATCAAAAACTGATTTGGTAAACTGAAATAGTAGCGAAACCCATAGTGTAGCCAAAACAATATTTACACATATATACAAATGTGCTGAATCGGTCGCCAGCTCACTCCTCGGCTCCGACTCTGTGACCTGAGACACATGAATAATGTGGGGGCGTGAGCACTAATCCACTGTGCTACGCAGAAACTCATACTAAAGTAAACAGTGAAAATAATAACAATATCATGATCTTGGCATATATAACTGAACTGATACTGAACTGAATCTGAAACTGATACCGGTACTGAATAATCATAATCTGATACTGATCTCGTGATAATCATCACCGGACTGATAATTGAACATCTGCCAGCATAAAAATGTCGGACACCATGTGCACACTCTAGTGGGCAGACTAAGGCCGCTAGAACCCAGAATGGACCGACGATCATTCCGAGCGGATACTGATAATACATACCTCAAACATGGTAGCGTAATCATAATCAATGTAATACCCAGTCTGAGTCCCCACCTGATCCTTTGAAAATGAAAGGCAGTGCTGATATCTAATGCCTGATCAAACTGAAATATAATATAAACAATTACTAAGTACTAAGCTCAGACTGATAAAAATATCTGTTTAATATGTTAAGATG